AAAAAAAAAAAAAAAAAAAAAAAAAAAAAAAAAGAAGAAAGAAAGGAAGAAAGAAAATTAACAAGGGGTAAGAAGACAAGCAAAAGGAGACGGCCTAAATAATAGAAAAGACAATGATAAAAAAGATAATGCATTACAGCTGTATTTTCCACGGTCTTGAGAGAATCACTTTTTACCCAGTCCTGATTTGCAAGATACCTAGCTGCATGCTGCGGGGAATAAGACAAGAAAACATAACAGGTTTCCCACTATTAGTAGAAAGTACAGAAACACAAGTGTAAGTTCATGGAAGGAAAAAGTGGCGCACCGTATTCATTTCACGTAAAATAAAACATGAAGCAAGATCCCGTACTCAATACATATATCTAGGTAAAAATATACAGCATTTTTCTGTTAAATAAATAAATAAAGCATCACCAACGTGCCAAGATACCTGAAGGCAAGTTTCTTTAATACCGTTACGGCCCTCCAATATACCAGCTTCTTTTATTGGTTCCTACAGAAACTTCTGCAATTAGATCTTTTCTCATAAAAGAAACAAAAGAAGAGGTTGAGATAAGCAAAGAGATGGCACAGAGTTTACCAGGTTCCTCACAGGAGGAAGACAAACGACAAGGTCTACATCACTAGTAGGAAGGGCCAAACCAGATGAGTTTGAACCAAATATGTTTGTCCTGGACCTGGGCCACAGCACTTGGAGAGACCGTGTTACACGCTTGACAGCCCAAGTTATGTAAGGCTTTCGAGCCAGATTTTGTGCAGCAACCTTAAAGATTTATGCAACAATCAGCCTATTTTTAATGTCTCATGGATGGTGGTAGAAGCTATAACTTTTAGCAAAACGTTTTGGTTTCATCTTGGAATAGATGCTAAAATGATGTATCAGGAAATGAGAGGTGGAAATAAGGACAATAATGAATACAAAGCTCCATACCTGCTTGCAGAAAGAATCAATCTCGTCATGAAGGAGGTTGTGCATCACCGAAAGAGAGGCTTTTTGTTTAGGAGAGCTCTGTGATTCAGTCAGTTGCATAGGCACCGCAACATCTGGCTGCAACATAATGTAAGCATCAACTTAATATAGATTCTACAACTAGGTAAAAATTAAAACGGTTATAAAGTAGATGCTATATTACATGTTCCTGATCACGAGCTAGATGGGACATAGCAATCAGACGATCCTGCAGTAAAGCTGCAGGAAGAGGTTGAATCATCGAGTGACCTGAAAAGTTATTATTTCTCCAAGATGGCCAAACAACTTCTGCTCCATCCCTGTATAAGCAAGCTTCCTCCAAATTAGCTCCATCAGGGAACCAACCTCGCACACCCCAGTGCCTCGGGCTTGAACTACCAGATCTAACAGTTGGAAAACCCCTGTGTTTCCTAGATTCACTCACAGGAGAGGGTGGAGGTGGACGTGGGGCACGTGTAACGCAACGCACAACAGGTGATGGTGGCCGTTTCATTCGAGGTTGCTCGCGTCTAGAAAGAGGAACACAAGAACTTTTAGCGTCATGACTACACTTGAACTCAGACCTTGACCTATCCCTTGATACATTTGGAACGATGATTGGAGGCAAAATGTGGTAAGGGAGCAGATCGCCTGTCTTTCCTTCACCCTCACCAGTTAAATCTGTCAATGATCTAGATGTATCCTCCTCGACTGCTGCATCTGTAACTGTTGACGGGGAACGAAGCACCTTGCCAGGTACCTCATTTCCTGACAGAACATAGCCTAAAGCCTGGTGTCCTGGACCCAAACTATCAAAAGGAGAACAAAAAGAAGCAGTGGGTGAAGTCAAACCAGTTGTACTGTATGGAGAAGAGAATGCAACCATATCATCAACAGCCCTATTCATGTCCGCCTCACGCCAAGCCCACGAGCTATCATCTGAACTAAGGGAAGGAGGACGAGAGAATCCTCCCGCTGGATGATCAGAAGGATTCCAATACATCACACCACCACCAAAGTATTGATTATAATCGATCCCTGAGACTGCATGCACATCAACTTCATCCTCAGATATCCAGTGGCTGTCCCAGTCATCTGCTAGGTCATGTTTACTTGTTAACTCGGGTAGGTCTGTGAAATCCCCAGAATGCTTCCTTTCTTCATCAGTGGCTGTTGCATTAAGATGCATGGTGTGGTTAGAAAAATTCTGAGGATAAGTACAATGCCATCTAGAGATGAACCCAGATTCATAATTACAGGTCCGTGACGGAGCCAAACCACAAGTACCACGGACCATTGGAGGCCAATCTAAACTCATTGGCAATCTTCTAGACAAAGTTGGATTACAACCACCTTCTATATTTCGCTGGTGTATTGCCGGTAAAAAGGATTGATGAAAGTGACGATGCCAATTACGACCAACATCCAAATGCAAGCGATCAGTGGCAGGTGGGAGATGAGGGTTAGAAGCCACACTAGGCCACTCATATGGAGGGCCACCTGAACAAGGCCTAGACGAAGGGGTGGTATCGGATACCTGTCGACTTTCTTGCTCTTGAATTAAAACAGGTTTTTCTTTAATATCAAACACTCTGACCTGTTTCTCTGGCGAAGCTGTTTTTATATCAAATTCACCAATAGGTGCAGATTTCTTGATACTGCTATCTTCGTTTTTAAAAACTTTAGTGTCCAATGCAGGCTCAGAGGAAGGTATTACCTTCTCATCTGCGTTACAATTTGGAGTTTCCAATCTAGAAGATATTGTTGTATTTCCAGTCACAATTTTATTTAACTGGTAACATTCCGAACCTTTATTCTCTTGAATTGAGAAGCTGGTGTGATCCTCCTTAATGCGTCCATTCACAGAACTAGAAGTAATTGAGCTCGGTGTAAGGACATTGTACTGAGATGCGTTTTCACCCGAGACACTCTGGAAGGTCGGATTAGCAGACACTGAATAATTCCCCACTGGATCGTCTTGACAAATGGAGGAAGATGAAGCTTCCGTTGCTGGTCTTTTGTAATTGGCCACTTCAACAGGATTCTTAAAGCCATTAATTCTGCTTTTGCCTTTTTCCCTTCTCGTCTTCCTTGCAGCAGATTGAGCTTTCCCAACACCCACTGCTTTGGTAGGTTCCTGGTTAAAGGGTAACAGTTATAAACTGATCAAACCATCGACAAGAAATAAGAACCGAATTAAACCACTAGTGCAGCCAGTTCTACTTTAAACAAAGATTTCTCGATGGACATATCCTTCCTCTGAGGGACATCGGGTGTCTCCTTGGACTCGACCAACAGCAACTCTGAATTCTCCTTATGAGCCAAGGCACAATCAATATCCTGCATGACATAAAATCAGTAAAACTGAGTCTTCTTAACAAACATTGTGTGAGTAAAAGGCTTCAGCAAACCCCTCAAGAAAAAGGGGGCAAGAAGATACCTTAGAAGATTTATCGCGCGAATCCACACAGCCCCCTTCAACAGGATTTAGCTTCTTTGTATTGCGGGTCTTCCCCTTTTTCTTACGGCTACAAGAACTAACCTTTCCTTTGGATTTAATAGGTGAGGACTTAACATTTTCTTCTGATATAAGTTCGAGTTTTGTGCAATCAAGCGAAATTACCATTAGAAATCCTCTCACTTTCCTTAGTATAAAATCAGAAACGGTACAAATTGAACTCAATGTGCTGAAGAAAATTTTCCCTTTATCATCACATATACTATCTTGACACAACGATGCCGTCATTACAATATCGCGAAGCACAAATAAACTATTCAAGGAATTGGATAAGGAAGCAGATTTTCCAGAAACAGAAGCTGGGACTATGTTTGAGCCAAATTCAGCGTCGGCTTCAAGAGTTGACACAGTCTTTCGCGTATTTACAGTATGTTTGTACCTCGATGGTCGCTCCAATCCTGTGTTGAAGAGCCAAAGATCATCCTCCAATGAACTCTCAGTCGCCTTCAAAATCTCGCGACACTGAAAATTTGAAACGATCATAGTTCATATCAAAACCAGACATCTAAGTAACATCATATAAGAACAGAAAGAACATAATTTTCAGATGCTTAAAGTTTCAAGTACCAAGTTTTTAGCTGATTTTCCCAAAACCGCATTGAAGATTTTCTTCCTCGGTGAAGAATCCAAATTCTCCCACCAATCCACACACCCTTTCTTCCTCCAATACACATTCGCCGCCACGCCCGCGGAGCTCGCTTTCTCTTTCAATTTCACCCCTCTTTTCTTCCCATTTCCGCTGTTGTTATTCAGCCAAGCCAGCCTCAAAGCCACCTCTAATCGATTGGCCACAAAAGCTTCGATACTGTAATAGCCTTTCGCTTTCAACCACTCCAATTCTACCCAATCCGATCCCAATTCGCTCTCTTCGCCTCTCAGAAACCTTCCGTTCGACACTCCGTCCATGGCCTCCACAAATTGATCGAAATTCTGGACAAACTCCTCACACACGGTTACCGAATCCAGACTCTTCGCCGACGACGAACACTCCTCGATCGCCTCGCCTTCTCTCGACGAGAACAACCTTGTCGCGTCAAAAATAGCCCTTTCCGACTGGTTCGATTCCGAAACCCTACAGAGGAGGCCGCGGGACTTCTTGAAGCAGACGCTGGGGAGATTGTCGGAGAGGAGATCGGGGAGGACGATGAAGAGGCCATGGCCGCGCGTGCGGAGC